ACACACTTAATCATTACATCAAAGTATCATTTAAATTTTTTCTCCACTTAAAAGATAATATTAAAAATATATCATTAATTAAACTGTATTTTTTATAAATTATCTTATATTCTAAAACAATAAAAATTCTTTAAAAATATCTTATAGTTTGAAAGGGATGAAGAGTATAATGGAAAATGGTTTACTATACTCCCTATCTTATTTTTAAGATAATGAAAAAGATTTTTATACTATTTGTAATTCATGTTATTAAGTTTTGAATATAAGTTTTCTCTTTTATCTTTTATTAGATATCAGTAAAAAAAATATACCATTAAAATATATAGATTTAATATTAGTAAGGTTAAAAATTTATTTTTAAATAAAATTAATAAATTTTAATTTTTTTAATTTTAATGAAATATATTAAAAATAATTTATATAAATAGGACCGGGTAATATATTCAAAGAATAAAGATAGTGTACTCTTTGATTTTTCTCCATTCAATTCAACTATAAATCATTCCATAAAATTTCTCTAACGCGGAAACAGTGCCACTGTGGGTGTATAATGAACGTGGATCATTCCTTTCCGTGGAGGATCTCCGTCTCCCATGTGACGGTGGGGCCCACTTTGTACCCACTTTGCAGACTCGTTGCTTTTTCCAACTTCCAATCATGTCCTGATATTATTCCCAGTATTCCTTAATTGAAATGATTTTTTAAAGAAACGAAGACAATTAATATCAACACTCAGTAATTGCGCATCAATTGACAAGATACTCCGCTCCTATTCTAATTATAAGATCAACATTAACTAATTTCATGATTTTTAAAAAAATAATATTTAATATTTTAAACTCATATAAAATCATGACTTTACAATTTTACTATTAACTAAAATTAATCACCATGATAAAGTGTTAATCTTCTCATCCCAATTTATAAGATTTTTTTTTTACAAAATTACATATAATAGTAAAATTTATTAAATATACTCTATAATAGTATTTTTTTAAAACAAAAATAAAAATTTTAAAAACACCTTTAATTTAATATAACTTTATTTGTGAAACCCTAAATATAGAGAGAAAATATAATAAGGAGGGAAAAATAATGGTGAAACAAGTATAGTTAATAAAAATTTATCTTTGTCAAAATGTTTTATATTTCCTAAATCAACCCAAAAACATCTTATAAATTGGAATGGAGAAAGTATATACTCCCTCTGGTCTACTTTTGCTAGTATTTTTTAATGAATTAGATGTTAGAAATTTTAAGATATTTTTAATCTTTCAAGATATAATTATTACTTTTTTTAAATTTTTTTATTAAATAAATTACTTTATATTTATTTTATGGTAAAACACATTAATAAGGATAAATATAAAAAGATAGGTTAATTTGAAGACAGATGGCTACTTTATTAGAGGTGAAATTCAATTAAAAATATCTTATATATTTTTAACGGATGGAGTAAAATATAAGTATTTTCTTTTAGTTATTATTGGTTCAGAATATAAGTAACCTAGTGTATGTAAACTTTTTTTCATTTTATTTCTTATATTTATTAATTTGAATATTTGTGTAAATGTATTCTATGAAGAGCGAGAAATGCATTTATTTTTATGAGAATGAAAACTTATTGGCATGTACATTTTTTAAAAAAAATTTCTTACATTTTAAATTAAAGAAAGTAAATTAAAATTAAAAGTATAATAATAACAACATATTGTAATTAATTAGGGATAATTTTTTAAAAAAATTATTTATATCCAACCCCACGCAACACATTTAAATATAAAAAAATTATTGATAACTTAGTAAAGAAAAATGAGAACACGTTCAGTTATCATTTTTCTTTACTCAATTATTAATAAATTTTATAATATTTAATTATGTTGGGTGCACTTAAAATAATAATCTTTTTATTAAACGCCACTGGCTAGGAACATGGTTTCACGAGCTGTTTGCGTGCGCCACCTCTGCTTTACTGTTGGGGGTTTTTACCTCTTGTTTTGGAAAAATAATAATAATTTTTTTAAAATTATATAAATAATAATTTAATCCTTTAAAATGTTATAATATTAATAAAGTTTTTAAAATTCTTTTATCAATTAATAAATTATGATTTTGTATTTAATTATTGTAATTCTTTAAAAAAAATTGCCATTCTTTAAATAAAAATTGTAAATGAAATTTATTTTTTTAAAAATTTATTTTTTAATAATAAAAATTACACTTAACAATTATAATTTTTTATTTAATTTTTTAATTTATAAAATAAAAGCTATTATTTTTTAAATAAAAGTTGTGATTGGATCTTATTATTTTTAGTAAAAATAATTTTTTTTAAAAAAAATTATTGATAAAGATATCTTTAAAAAATTTATTAATATTATGATATTTTGAGGTATTAAATTATCATTTATATAATTTAAAAATATTTTATTATTACTTTTCCCTTATTTTACCACCTCGTATTAGGGGGGAGCGGGGACCTCGCATGATTTATTAAGCTCCCCCATTTCATTGCCCTGTCTTTAACGTTATCCTTCTAAAAAGTCCAATATCTGACACCGAGAAAGTTCCTTTCCACTTGATATTGAATTGATGCCTCACATGTCACCGCTACTTTGTAACAGAAGTAATTAAGTAAATTAATTGCATCATATTATTTTATGATCCGTTCAATTAAAATATTTTAAATAATTTTAATAAAATCTTATATAATTTTTTTAAATTAATTTTTTTATAACATAATGCATATTTCTTACTTTTTTCTCTACCATCATAAATATTAAAAGTATTAAAATTAACTTATATTTTATGCAATCTAAATGTCATGATTTCATTAGATAGACTATAAATGATATAGTACACTCAATTTATCTAAGTATTTTTCTTATAATAAAGAGAAAAAAATGTAAAAAATCAAATACACATTCTCTTATAAAAATAAAATCAATTTAAAAAATATTACAGAAGATTTTATTTAAATTACTCAGATCATTTTAATTGGATGGATTACAAATGACATGGTGCATCCAATTTACCTAAGTATTTCTCTTATTGTCATTAATATCAAAATTAATTTATATTTAAATATCATATTTTTATTTGATAAACTATAAATGATGTGCTGCACCTAATTTTAAATATTTCTCTACTTTGTAATTATATCAATTGAAAAATGGCTTATACAGTGACTCAGCCCTGCCCAATTTTGTCTCTATTCTCTGAGCATTTCAACTGCAAAACCTGAGGTATGAGAATACTGCTATGAACTAGCGGCGAGACCTATGAAGTGTTTATATTGAAATGCTCCGCTTGCGTACAGTTTTAAGCAGGAACCAGGAAGGCTATACTTTTGGAAGAAAATTACAAAACAGAGGCGATCATCTTTCATTTTTCATATTGCCCGTTCAATGATTAATGACAATTGCAACCATGTGAAAGTACATGAGGATTTGAACGATTGCCAGATTTTCCAACCACTAGAGTCTGTACCGAACTTGGAAAAATGATTCCCAATAATTATTCACCAACAAAAACATCAATACTGTGAGATAAAACGGACGAAAGGAGGCCGTTTTATATCCCGACAGGTGTACAAATAGGTAAAAGGTTAGAATTTGTTTATGATTAAATGCGAATTGACCTAAAATGTTCTCTTTGGCTTCATGATATGGACTACGGAGAGACCCACAGATGGGGAAGCATGCGGTATCATGACGCGTGAGATTTCAGGATGGTCCTGTATTTTATGATATGAGGCGGATGATTAATCTGTGGAATGGGATAGAACTCAGAACTGAAGGTGGGGCAATGAAACAGGAACATAGGATGTCCCATTTGTTGCCTTGAACATGACCCACGTTGAACCTAACAAGCGAAGCAAAATGCCAAGTGGGTCTCATGGTCTCTCGAATGAAAAAGGGAAGGAACGGAGTGGGAGATCAGGACTAAGTGGTTGTGGACGTCACCCACTCAAGTGTTCATGATAAAAGGCAGAGAATGAGTGTCAAAGCTTGAAGGCCAAAATCCACCCCCAGAGTTCGAGCAGGAAATTGCAATGGTCAATGAGTTTATGACAATCATGTGCCGTTCAAATTGATTACACGTATTTTGCACGTTATTAAGGCGAAGTCTCAGTGGAATTTCAGCAAAAATCGAGAGGGTCGAGTTACTTACTTGTTCAATGATCATTCCCTGTTCATATTTTAGTCCCATAAAGTTAAAGAAAACACTAGCAGTATCCTGTATCCCCATCGCGAGACAACGTGGAATTGCAAAATGTAAACATTTTAAGCGTGATTCGCGTACTGAATTCCCGCAACAGCTCCTGATGGATAGTCCCAAAAAAGTTAATTTCTTTTCTTAATCCACAACACATCTGACTCTTCCTACTAACGTTATAAGACCGTTCAATGAAGCATTATCGCGAGAGTAATTATAATAACGTTATTCTCAATAAACCTTACACGGGTAATACTTCCTCCGTTTCAAAATTATGAAATATTTTTTTAAATATAATTTTATGTGAAGTATTTTATTATTTTTTAAAAAATAATTAGTGAGTTTTTTTTTAAAAAAATCTCTTAATGAATGTTTAGAATTAATGAAACTTTTACTTTTTTTTTTGTTTACCAACGGAATGAAACTTCTACATTTAGTGTGATTAAACTATCCTATTAAATAAGGAAAAATATGAAAAATACATAACTTGTAATGATAATAACTGTTTTCAAACAGTAGAAATTAGTTAAAAATAACTCGTAATATTGTGGGTACTGAAAAAGTAATACAAGTGGTTCCAGGTAGACGCACAAATGAAAAATTATAGACCCGACATAGTTGTAGAAAGGCGAGACGGAGGTGATTCATTACGGCAAAAACTTGGGCTCATGGAAAGCTTCCGGCCGGAATGGCCATTCCAGGAACCGGGGCCTATGCTTGCGAAAAGCAAAACAAATGGCTCTCAATTGTAGTAACACTCAAATAGAAGTGGGCCACACAGCTTCCAGTTAAAACCCGAAATCAAATTTCGCTCCAAAACTGTCAAACATCATTCTCATCCCCTGCCCATTATTGCATCGGCCGAAGAATGGCAAAAAACAAAACAAATATTTAGCACGTCATACGCCTAGAGAAAAGGGGAAATCAATCACAGCAAGAACTAGTCTCCATTCCCCAACAGCCCTAGTTTTAAAACTACGACGAGCATGAGTCTGATTGATCCAGCACAACAACCATCACACAAATACAGCCTAGCTTGCACATCTGCTTCAAACAATTACACATCAAGTTGAGGTAGAAGGGTGGGAAAGATTACTATCACTTCACACTTCCTAAATTATTAATGCACTAAATGAGCTCGTTCCCCTCTCTCGAACTTCATCTCTTTGGAAAGTGAACGCTAACCGAGTTAGTATACTAAATGAGTAATCACACTTACCGAGAACTTTGTTATTTAGCCAAGTATCAAGGACTTCAACAAGGAAGTTAAGGCAAATCCGTTGATCAAGCTTTCTTTCTTATCTTGCAAAAGTCAAGTGCATAACTTCTTCCCGTACTTGCTGTCTGATATATAGTTGTTCCTTTAGAAACACCCAAGTTCGAACTTCGAACCCTTCCTGGAACAAAATGTTTCCTCCTTGCAAAAGGTTAAGCGTAAGATCCATAGAATATGACAGTATGCAGGACAACACTTGATAATTATTTCACCCATATCAACAACACTTGATGTCAGTGTCAGTTTAAAAGAAGCCGTCAGAATTTTTATAAAATGAGGGGCAGTAGTGGCAGTCGAATATGGATTTCAGGCCCCTGAGCATAGCGGAAGATGATCAACCATCAATTAGATATTCAAGCAAAGAATGCAAGAGGCAATATGAACAGTTTTCTAACAAACATTTCCTTTACCCCATATTGCTCAACGTTAATGAGGTAACGTGAAATTTAGCAAAAAAATTTAGCCACGAGAAGAGTAACCTGCACCAACTAGAGAAAATAACTGCCTTCAAAGTATGTCATCACACAGAATAGAAAACTACGTTGATTGATTGACGATAGTCCTCAATCTCATAGGATCATGTACTAATGATTGATACACATTAGCCTTGTTAAATCTGTCTCAGATCCATTTTCGACAATAAATGTGAAAATTCAAAAATATCAGCCCACAGGTTTTGCTTACCTGATACACGCCATGGAAAGGAAAAAAATTCTATGATATGTTGGAAAGTAACTATAAACTTCACAGCATACAACCATGCCACAAATAACACATCGCATTATATTGACAGTAAAACTATACTTTCAGTGAAAACAAACTTGTTCCAATCCCAAATGACGAACAATAAAGTACCTTGCACAGCCTAACTTCATTTTATGTAACAAAATTATCCCAGCGTCTTCAATCCAAATAATGTTTTGGCCAAATAAACATGTGCTGTCACGAGTTCATGATGGGCTGAAGGATTGTCAAAGGAAATTGTTTATTTACACCAGAAAATCAGGATATGGCTTACTCTCAGCGCTTAGTAACTCCAAAAAAAGTACAAACTAGAGATATTATCAATCAATTTTAATGACAGAAATGGTAAAAAGGGAACATCCAAATGGAGAGAGCCATGGTGAAGGAACGATGGCAGGGGAATAAGAAACATCCACGAAAAAAGAATGAAATTTGAGTCACCGGGGACGGATTTATCTTCAAGGCAAGTACATGAATCGCAATATTAGCCTAAAACAATCTCTGAAACACCAGGAATTACCAACTTCATTCCTTCGACTGACAAGGTTATCGTTTCATCTAAATTCTCAAGTATTTAGTCACTCGGGAGCAAGGTTGGTTAGTGGTTCGTCCTTGTTATATGCCATATATGCAGTGACAGCAATGTTCGGTGAATAGTCCAATATACTTCAGCCTATACTGAAAAGCTTCATGAAGAACTTAATTGCCACGATGTCCAATAATAATTTTTTACAATTGGGAAACTTTAAAGCGAATAGCCAGTAACCCCAAATCATTCTATCAGTAAAGTTATCCAGTAAGAAACTATCAGTGAATTTCAAGCACACATAAAACGATAGAATGGAGCGAACTGTCATGATGCGGGAAAGAGAGTGTAGGAGTTCCTTAATCAGAGTAGAAATATCAAAATCAAAATCACATCACCGCATTGTTTCCGAAAAAAAGTTCTCACGATCTACAACATAGCTATCCCAATAACTAATTCTTTTGAGTTCCTACTAACCTTCCAGGCTTATATATCGCTATCGTCACTATCATCATCCTCATCATCATTTCCCACATCATTAGCAATGAATTCTCCGGGATGAATTGTCCGCCTTCGAGTCCTTGACGGAAGAATGTTATTCAAATCCACCTCTGCAAGTGGGTCATCCGACAGATCACTGTCACCATCCGAAACAACTCCACCGTCACTGGAATCGTCGTCGTCGCCACTGTCGTCATCGTTCTCGTCATCTTCTTCTATCAATTTCCCTTTGCCCTTGTCAGCTGTCATAATCCCTTTTCCCTTTCGGTCCACCATAACTTCTCCATTGGATTCCTCGCCATCGTTGTCTTCATTTTCGTCCCCATCATCCTCAGCGCCATCGTGAACGAAATTACCGCCTTCATCGCCCCCATCCTCTGCGACCGCATAGGACTCAACTTTTTCGACTTTCTCGTCAGTGACAGGAGAACAATTGCCACTAAGAACATCAACATTGTTATCCGAAATTAAAGAAGCCTCGTGATGTTTTGCTTCATCTGATGGGACCAATGACCTGTGATCCGAAGATTCGAGCTTTTGAGCTTTGCTCTGGTGACCGTGAGAATCTTCGCCGTTTATATCAGGCTTACGCTTCGTGGGAAATGTTGGTCCGTCCGGGCTCTTGGTTTCGGCCATGAATTCGGGTAGCGGGGTGAGATGTTAGCGGTGAGGACAAATTAGGGTTTGGCGCGGGAGGAATGCGGTATCAGCACTGCCGCAACGAAGAGACTGTCATGACTAGGCTTCGAATTAGTGATGCTTGCCGGGGACCCTTCGTATTCTTTCGTAGCGTCTGATAAGTAAAACTTATGCTGAGAAAGTATTTCTGATTACTTATGAGTATTTTCTTAAAAAAATTAATTAAAATATATTTTAATACTTTAACTTTATATAAAACTTTAAATTATATAAATGATGATGTGACATTTTAAAATATTATAATTTTAATAAAATTTTTTGAAATTTTTATCAATAAATTTAAATTAAAAAGATTATTTTATCTTTATTAATAAATTGTGATTTTTTGTTCAATTTTTGTAATTTTTTTTAAAGTTGTGAATAAGGTTTATTATTTTGAGAACTCATTTTTTAATAATAGAAATTATACTTAATACATTATGATTTTTTGCTCAATTCTTGCAATTCACATAGCATAAGTTGTTATTTATCAAGTAAAAATTATGATTGGAGTTTATTTTTTAATAGCAAAAATTATAATTGATAAGTTGTAATCTCTTATTCAATTCTCATGATTTATATAACAAAATTTGTAATTCTTTAGATAAAAGTTATAAACAGGGTTTACTATTTTTAATAAGGGTATAATTATCTTTTCACTAAAAAAGTTATTGATAGAGAGGTTTATAAAAACTTTATTGAAATTATGACATTTTCAATAACCAAATTGTCATTTATATAACTCAAAAAAAAAAATTATTGTCATTTTTCTAATTTTATTTTAATTTTTTAATTTATAAAGTATTTTTTAAGTCATTTAATATTAACAACATTAGTTTTATTACAAAAAAAATACATTAAATTTTTAAATAATAAGAAAATATTCTCAAATATTAATATATTAAATTTATTTTTTAAAAAATAACAATTATTGGCATAAAAATACTCTTTCAAAATTAACGGTGTTGGAGTTAAGAAACTAAAAATATAATTTATAAAATTAAAATTTTATAGAAAATTGGAGGACCAAAAATATAATTTAGTCAAAACAAAATTAAGGACCAAGCGTCTCTTTGGTTGGAAAGGAGGGGAGGAAATTTTCCCTTATCTTGTTTGTTTGGATGAAAAAAATGAAAGGGAGCCCTCCACTTGTTTGACAATAAAATCATATTTGATGGAAATGAGCTAGATTGAAAAACGCATGAGTATAAGTGAAGTTAATATTTTTGTTCATTTAATGCGATGGAACCCAATACTCTATGGAACCCAATTCCATTAAAGTTAAGGGAGATGGGTTCCTTGCTTTACTTGATAGAGCCAGGTTCCATTTCCTCGATGGACTTGTTTGCCCTTGCCTTTTCCTCCCCTCATTGTTCCTATGATTGCAACTCACTTTTTGCCTTTGCTGGTGACAACTGTTCTCTGCAAATGATGATGGCCCTCAATCAGTAATAAGGGCTATGATTCTCCACCAATCTGACTCTCAATGACAACATGCTAAACAAATATAAAAAAATCATATTTAATTATTCACGACAGTCCTCCACCTACGATGCATGGTCTTAAAGATCTTCGACAACTATAAACACCATATTTTATCCGGATATTTTCTTTTAATAATTAAAAAAATATAAAAATACAAAAATAAAATTTAATCCTTTTTAGGATTATATTTTTAAAAAATAATTAATAGGGTTTAATTTTATTTTAACATAAATAATCTTTTATTGCTCTGGATCTTATTTCTTTTAATTCATTAAAAATCACCAAAAAATATAAAAATATAAAAATAAAATTTAATCCTTTTTTAGGATTATATTTCAAAAATAATAATAATAATATAATAATAATAATAATAATCTTGCTTAAATTTTTAAAATCTCTACCAAATTATTCCAATCATTTAAAATATTAGGAGTCAACTTTTGAAAGTTAAATTTCTCTCCTTAAATCTTATTTTTTATTTAAAAATATACATGTGTGTGTGTGTTTTAATTAAAAAAAAAGGAAATAGAAACCAAACAAATATACAAGGCTGGGTACAACCAAAACAAAAAAAATTCACACCTTCGGTGCAGAAAAGAAACAGAAACATGCAGAAGCAAACACACGAAACACAACCAAAAGACTTCAACCTTTCAAACAAACGCAAGATGAGAAGGAACAGAAACATGCAACAGCAAAACACACACAAAAGCAAAATGCACACGAAGACCAAACACGACAGAAGGAAAAAGAAAGCAAAAAATGCAAAAAAAGGTAGAAAAGAGAACCAGAGACACACGCACAGCAGAAGGCAAGAAAGGAGAATGCAAAGAAGACCCTGAAAGCAAGCTGTGATCACAGGGGAGATGGCAAACAAAAATGAAGTCAGACACACGAGCGAAAGAGCAGAAGAGAGGCACACATGCACGCATGCACGAGGCTTCCCCTTTAAAAATGCAAGCACATACGAGAAAAGGGGATGGATTTGAGACGGAGAGAAAAACAAAGCATCGAGGAAGAAGGGGACGAATCTGAAATTGAGAAAAAAAAGAGAAGTAGAGACGGAGAAGAGGTCGAGAAAAAAAGAGAGAATAAGAGTAAGGGAGAAGAGACCAAGAGAGGAAGCTTTTCTAAGAAGAGAAAAAACAGAGAATGGAGAAGAAAAAAACTAGACAAAAAATAGAGTAGAAGGACCAAGAATAAGAGAGCAAAAGGAGAAAAGAAAACTAGACAAGAGAGAAAAAAAGACAGAAAATGGAGTAGAAAACTGAGAGGGAGAGATTGAGAACGGATCAAAGACAGCAAGGAAAACTGGAGGAAGGAGGGAAGAGGAAGACGGAGGAAGAGAAGAAAAATAGAGAGGAAGAGAAGAGAGAGACCGAGAGAGGAGAGACTGAAAAAAGAGAGCCAAAAATGTGAGAGAGTGACGAATGAGAAAGAGACTGAGAGAGGAGGAAACTGAAGCAAAAACAAAGTACAACAAAGAAAAAAATAGAGAGGTTGAAACTGGAAAGGGAGAGAGGAAGAAAAATAAAGCATAAGAATGGAGACCAAGAGTAGAGATGGAGTAGAAGTTGGAGGATGATTGAACAGGGAATGGAACCGAGAAAGCGAGAAGAAGAACACGCATAAACAGTAGCATGCATGCACACATTGGTTTGTAGACTGAATGAGATCACCATTTTCTTCTTCCCTCAGTCACACAAGTTCTGGATGTTTTACAAGCAACAAAGAACCTGAAACACGTTCAAAACTTGAGGTTGAGGCGATGAAAGCGTCGTCTTGAGAGGAAGAAGAATGAAAGCTTGGAATTACAAGCTGCTCAGGTAATATTTAAGTCATATCATTTCTTTTAATCTGAATTAATTGATGAACACACACACGTATATATAATACACATTAGTAGATATTATGAGTGCAGACTGATCTGGATGTATGTTTAGGCATTAAAATATTTAGGAATTAAATATTTTGATATAGAATTTAGAACATATTTGAGAGGTGTTTGACAAAATAAAAAAAGAGAAAGAGCTTGTGAGAATATTGTTGATAATTTGTAAGGTGATCATGGTTTGAAGCCATGTCTATCATTGCTATGATCTTGCTAAAAGTTTATGAATTTTTTCTTAGAATATATGCTAAAGTCAAAATAATAGTGAATTATCAAGATAGTTTATTTCTCTATTCTTTCCATAGCCTTTATTGCATGAATTGTTTAGCTAACCACAATATTATACACCAATTGTAATATTTTGGCTATCTATTTGTCATGTGAGATTTTAAGAATCTCCATAGGCACTTAGAATGATTTCATGCCGTGTAAATCAATAAGATTTTACAGGTATGAGGATCAGTCTTGTAGATATTTATATGAATTCTGAAGGTCCAATATTAAAATTAATTTTCTTTTTATAATAAATATTTAAGTCTTATGTGAGATTTTAAGAATATTCGTAGAGAATTAAATTAATTACCTTATTATGTATGATAATAAATCCTCGCAGATATTGTGATTTTCAATTTGTATATATTACATAAACAATTTTTATAAATAAAATAATAAATATTTTTTTATAATTTTAATTAATTAAATTAATAAATTTAAATTATAATCACACTTTCTAATTAGATCTTTTGGTCATGTGAAATTTTTAAAACTCCATACACATTTAGGATAATCATACTACCGTGTGAGTTAATAAAGCTTCATAGGTATAACGATTAAGATTTTTATATTTAAAAATATACGTCGCACAATTATGCATTAAAATATATTTAAAATGAATATTATTTAATCCTTTTATCGTGTAAGATTTTGAATCTGTGTAGATATTTAAGATAATCTTGTATCGTATAAATCAATAAGGTTTCGCAGATATGAGAGCAAAACTTATAAATTAATATAGGTTCCAAAAGTCCATCATTAAAATTAAATCTCCTTTTATAATCCAAATTAATAACTTATTTAAGTCCCATGTGAGATTTCAAGAATCTTCATAAAGACTTAAACTAATCACATAATTGTGTGGGATAATAAGTTCTTGTAGATGGAGTGATTCTCAATTTTTATAATAAATAAATATTTTTTGTAAATAATCATATAATAGACAATTTAAAAAAATTAATTAATCAAATTAATGAATTTAAGTTGTAATCATATTTACCAATTATATCTTTTAGTCATGTGAGATTTTTGAATCTCCATAGACTTCTAAGACAATTGCATTATCGTATGAGTTAATAAAACTCTGCAGATATAGCAATTAAGTTTTTAAATATATATAAATTATATAATAAATTAATTAAATTAAAAGATGTATTTAAATAAATTTAATTCTTTTATCGTGTGAGATTTTATTAGGGATCATCTCTGAGTCCTTATCTGTTCAACTTGATCCTAAATGTTTTGACGGAATATATTCAAGGAGAAATTTCCAAATGTATGCTCTTTACGGATGATATAGTTCTTATAGCAGAGACAGGAGAATAGGTTAATTGCAAACTTGAGTTATGGAGGAGGACATTGGAGTCGAAAGGTTTTCGTCTGAGTAGGAGTAAGATGGAATATTTATATTGTAAATTTGGTAAGAGACTGTTTGACAATAATTTAGAAGTGAA